GGAACGGACCACCTGATGACCCCACCCAGCGGCCTCATGTAGATGTTAAACAGCATTGGGGAGATAATCGACCCCTGTGGAACCCCACAATTGACACTCCACGGGGCCGAGACACTCTTCCCAAGGTGCACTCTCTGGGGGCGGTCCTCTAAGAAGGAATGGAGCCAGGCCAATGTCAGGCCACCTATTCCCAACTCAGAGAGCCTCCCCAGGAGGATACCATGGTCAATGGTATCAAAGGCTGCTGAGATATCGAGGAGGACCAGCAGGGACACTTTGCCCCTGTCGGCCTACCTCAATAGGTCATCACACAGGGCGACCAATGCCATTTCTGTACCATGGCGCAGCCTGAAGCCCGACTGAAATGGATCCAGGGCATCTGTTTCATCCAAGAGCGCCTGAAGCTCATCGGCCACCACCCTGTGTCATGTTGATATGGGCTTAAATTTAGAACTCTAGAGAATAGGGTGTTGTGGCACAGAAGGAGAGACGGATACCCCACTCGCTGGAGAGCCGTCCCTCCCCCACAACAAGGATAAGGGGGTGAGACCCCAGCCAGCACAAGAACCTACGGCAGAAGCTCAGCAAGGCACAGAAACTGAGGAGCTGACCAAAGAGATACAGAGAGTAACGATGAGAGGTTCAGGAGGAAAACGCAGGAAAGGAGGGAAAAAGAGGCAGCTTGAGGCAGGCACAGGGAAGATAAAAAGGAGAAAGAGTCAGTTGCTGCTGGGTTGGGAGTGAGTGTGGATGGAGGATCCCTGGACGGGATTATGGGAGAGACTGAGAGTGCCTAAGGAGGAGGCAGATTACAGAAGGAGAAGAGCGATCCCCCCCCTTAGACCCTGTTACTGGGGTGAAGCCGAGGTTAGAGAGTGGAGGAGAAGATTGAGAGAAGAGAAAGAGAGTGGAGAAAGGCTGGAATGGAGGACCCTGGGAGGATCAAGACTCTGAGAGACGAGCCCTGTGGAATGGCGATCGGGATGACAAGACTGTGCCCTTGCTGGAGGGTTCGATGGGGCAGACAGTGAGAGAGTGGTACCCACCAATTTACCAGGACCATGGGATAATAGTTATGGTAACCTGTTCCTGCTTGACGACTGGAAGCCCCTTCCGGAACCATTGGCAGGGGGAGAAAAGACTCACAATCATGTTATAGGTACATGTTTATTGTTAAATGAATCAATAAATCTTTCATATTTTTAAGATACTTTTCTACTTGAAGCAATGTACTAAAAAAATTCAAGATCACAACACTTCAAACAATAAAAAAGTGCAACCTGCAACAAAATGTAATATGTGTATTCCAATACTAATAATAGACTCACAACATGATGCAGGAAAGAACAATCAAAGTTTTCTAGGAAACAATTCATTAAAACAGGGGTGGGTGAAGTGCATTTTTGGAGTTCACCAATATTTTTCAAAAAAGCAACATTTTTGTACAAAAATTTGCACTCATTAATTTAGGCCAACAAAAGGCCCCAGAAGCCTGGTTTTCTGTTTAAGCCTTCCCAACACCAAACAAAACAAAAGGAAAATAAAAAACGAGAAGTATCCTTTTTCATTTCCTATTTGATTTGTTTTTCTTTTCAAAATGTTTGGTGTGAGCCATTTCCTTCTTTGCTACAGCTTGTGGTGGAGCCTGAGGGCTTGAATTTAGCTTCCAAACCCTCAGTCCTTGCCCACCTTACCCTAGGAGAAAAAGTTACAATGTTTGGAACTTTTTAATTCCATCAAAACTGATATATTACACACAATGTGAGAAAACAAATATGAAGAAGCGCTTTTCAATCCCTCATAATACTAAAAAACCCACAGTCATTCAGTGAAGCCAAATGAGCAGAGACAACCAACAGGAAATATTTCCTACCTTGAATAGTTAGCACTACTGTACTGAATTTGGTACCAACAAGATATTGTGACAGCTACTAACTTGGATAGCTTGAAAAGTAATTACAGGTAGTCAGTTTAGGAAAGATTGGTCTTTCTATGATTGTTGATCATGATGCAATATATTCAGTACCTTCAGTATCAGAGGTATTGTGCTTCTCCATATAGTTAAAGGGGAACGTGTAAGGACTATGCTGCTGTACAGTATTCATATCCTGCCTGTGAATTTCCTCTGGGCAGACATATGGCGAGTGAGGGGGAAAATGCTGAGCTATGCTCTGATACTATATAGCACACTTTTATGAATACAAGAAATTACTTTGGACCTAAATACCCCTATGTACAAGAACAAAGCACTTCTACACATATATGCATGGAACAGAAGTAACATTTTATTTATTTATATTTATTTAACATAAGTTTGCTTCTTACACAGGACCAGAGGACATGCCAGACCAATCCTCTAAAACCTCTTTTTAGAAGGCACAATGAATTGCAGTGTTGAAGGCTTACATTATTCTGGTATATGTCATTACTGTATACAACTGCTGGATAACTCAGTGGCTTACATCTATGGCTGCAGAGCCAGAGGCTGGGAGTTCAATTCCACACTGAGCCTCCTTGAGAGGTGCTGAACTCAATGATCCATAGGGTCCTTTCCAGCTCTGCAGTTCAAAGGTTACTATTTGAAAAAAGTGTTTTACTTTTTTGCAGAGATTATTAGCTTCAATACACTGTTTATCACAGTACTAATAAACTGTCCCTCTCTCAAAATTTTGGTATGGAATTTGAATTTCAGGAATATTGATAGTTTCAGGGTAGAAAGGATATGAGGAATACCTAATTCTCCCATTTGACACAAATTATGTTGTCCAATATTTGATTAGAAAATTGTTATTTAAAATAATTATCTACCTCACTGGCTGGCTTTGCACAAATAACTACATTTCAATCTAGATGATACCCCAGATATTTGTGTTACGGAAAATGTGGCTGTATCAGACAGTGAGCCATATGGCACTGTGAGCCACCTGTACAGCACTCTAAACTCTTTGGAGAAAGGACAAAATAAAACGTGATAAATTATTTCTGCCAAATTAACCACATTAATGGAAACTAGTAAAACTAATCAAAGCATATTAAACCAAATAGGATCTGCAGGATGGCCAATATATCACTGCCATAAAACCAACCAGAAATATGTTGCTTATTCCTAGAAGAAAGTATATGACAAAACAAAAGATATAAAAAGGGAACCAATATGCCACCATGTTGGGTGCAAACTGAAACATCAGCTACACCAGATGCACAGAGCACATTTAACAACTTATTTTAAAATAAAAGATCAGTCACAGCAATAGGGCAAGAAGAATTGTTTGCCACGGAAAAACTTGAGCCAAAATAATACAGCAACTGACTGCTACAGACATACATTCTACACTCTACAGTGAACTGATGTAACTGTGTAACTGAACTAAATACCACCTGCCACAATATGACTGTGGCTAAAACCCTTTTCCTTAGCATAGGAGGTTGCCACTAGAGTAGGCTCACTGAACCAGTGGGGATTTGGTGAGTCAATTTCTCCAATTCAATGGGTCTACTCTAGTTGTGAAGTGACATTATGCCACCGGATTTCAGCCGGTGACTAAAATATTTGGCAACGCAAGCGTCGCATCTTCCAGCTGAGCAAGCCCAGTCTCGTCGCCCACGTTGAAGCACCCATTTCCCTATTTTGAACTCGACCCTTCCGGCCAAGCCCTGGGGTTCAGGAGCAGCCCCCGGCTTCCCCGAAGCCCGGAACGACCCGAGTGGGAGGGAGGGAGGGAGGGAAAAGGCACAGCCGTCGCTCCCAGGCGACACTTCCGAGAACACACTTCCAAAGGGTGGGACGGCTGTGGGGCAGAGCTGGCTTTCGAAACGACCCCGAGTACACGACCTCACACGGCCGCTAAGGGGGGGGGAAACGTTTCCCAGCAGCACCGAGGGGGCTTCTCTGGTCAACCTGCTCGAAGCCTTCCCCGCCCCTCAGAGCCAGGGGGCCGCCTGGGCGCAAGGGCCGCTCCTTCGCCTCCACGCCACAAAGGGGACGCACGCACTTCGAGGAAGAGTCTTTCTGAGGCGTCCCGGGGCCCGAGCGACCCCCCTCAGCGGTGAGGGAACCAAGCTCCAGGCTTCCCACCCTTCCTGCTGCCAAGCCCCCTTCGACCTCCTCGCTGCACAGGCGAGCCACCCGAGCCCAAGAGGCTTCCCTTCCTCGAGTCAGCTTCTCCCTTCACCCTTTTACCCTCTCCTTCCCCCACCTTCCCCTCCCTCAAACCGTCCCCCCCCTGCCGAAGTGGCGCCCGAGGCGCTCACTTACCCTCTCGTGAAAGATGGCCTCCATGTTTGTCTCCCACCACCCACACCAAGCCTCCACAGCACCTGACCCGGATCCATCCAATCAAACCAGGCTCTTCGTCACAACCTGCAGCAGCCAATCCCCGTGGCGGCGTCCTGGGAAGCGAGTTAGTTTAGCGTCCCTGCGCGCAATCTATTTTAGGACCCCAACATACGCGGGGTTCTCAGCGCTGCCGCTTCTGGTTCCGGTTACGAAGCCACCATGTGAGGGGCTAGGAAGGGAAAACCTCTAGAAATCAGAATGGGGGGGGGAACATCCCCTGCCTTAGCAGAGTTCTGTCGAAAGTATTATTTCGAAACTATTCTGCCCTGAGACGAATTCACTCCACCATTGGCTGCTACAGCAAACGTCGAAAAAGTCACTTTTAAAGTGTGTGACTACGCAAAAGCCTTTGACTGTGTGGACTACAGCAAACTATGGCAAGTCCTTAAAGAAATGGGAGTGCCTGATCACCTTATCTACCTCCAGGGAAACCTATACGTGGGACAGGAAAAAACAGAACTGGATATGGAACAACTGACTGGTTCAAAATTGGGAAAGGAGTACGACAAGGCTGTATATTGTCTCCCTGCTTATTTAACTCATATGCAGAATACATCATCCGAAAGGTTGGACTGGATGAATCCCAAACAGGAATTAAGATTGCCGGAAGAAATATCAACAATCTCAGATATGCAGATACCACTCTGATGGCACAAAGTGAGGAGGAATTAAAGAACCTCTTAATGAGGGTGAAAGAGGAGAGCGCAAAAAAGGGTCTGAAGCTGAACATAAAAAACTAAGATCATGGCCACTGGTCCCATCACCTTCTGGCAAATAGAAGGGGAAGATATGGAGACAGTACAGATTTTACTTTCTTGTGTTCCATGATCACTGCAGATGGTGACAGCAGCCACGAAATTAAAAGACACCTGCTTCTTGGGAGGAAAGTGATGACAAACCTCGACAGCATCTTAAAAAGCAGAAACATCCGCCGAAAAATTGATGCTTTTGAATTGTGGTGCTGGAGGAGAGTCCCCTGGACTGCAAGAACAAACCTAAGAGTCGGACACAACATAACGACTAAACAACAACAAAACTCTTGCAATTGTAGTCCAAAACTAAATTTCTCATATTCTGCGTTAGAATAACTGTACCAAGATGTCTTTGTAAAAAATGCAATTGCACTATTGGTAAGGAGAGTGTCAAACAGTGATTACATTAAAAGCCAGCATTAACATGTGGTTAACTTTTTTCCTGTAACAGGTATAAGGTGCGAGAATTGAAATTTATATCTCTGCATCTCTTAAATCAGGATTGGGGAACCTTCTGTATATCCCAGCAGTTGATTTATTCAATTTAAAAATATTTTTACTCTGCCTTTCTTCTCAGAAAAGCACTCAAAGTGGTGTGTATAATTAAAAACACAATACTGTATTAAAATTTAAAAACAGTAAATTATTCAAATATTAAAGAAGTTCTGTATTAGTGATGGAACTGCAGGTTCCAAAGCTGAAAGATTATGGGAGTTGCAGTCTGAAACATCTATCCAGCATTTATCCAGCTCGACATCTAGGGAGAGAGTGTCAGAGATCATTGAGCCAATGTATACGAAGTCATGAACAACCTCCAATTCTTGTGCAGAGATGGTAATAGAGGGAGGTGAGTCCATGCCCTGGTCCATGACTTTCTTCAGGCTGATTGCTAATCCAAAGTCTTGGCAAGTCCTACGAAAATGATTCATAAGTTGTTGGAGGTCTTCCTTTGTGTACAGTGGCTCAACAATCTCTGACACTAGATGTCAAACTAAATGTATTGGCAAAGCAGCTACCTAGAGTGGACATCTGACTAGATAGGCGGGGTGTAAATACAATAAATAAATACATACCATGTTCTCTAGACTCACAAAGAGAGTATGGCTTAATAAGAAGCTGATGGCATATAGCAAGATCCAGGTCTATAGAGCCTGTGTCCTGAGTACACTCCTTTACTGCAGTGAGTCCCGGACCTTTTGTGCACGGCAGGAGAGGCTGCTGAACACGTTCCATATGCATTGTCTCCGACGCATTTTCGGCAGACCTGGGGAAAGTGCGGCCCGAGAGCCACTCCTGTCCAGCTTATGCACAGGTTTGAACATCAAAACCATTTTATAGCTTTTTGTCTAAAGTTGATCAGTTGCTTATCTTTACATACCACAAAAACTTCTTATAATAAAAACTATAACATCACTGTTTCATTTTATTTTTAAGTAAAGTTGGTTCGACCCCCAAAAACAGTTCAGATTTTTTTTATGTAACCCCTATAGAAATTAATTGCACACCCCTGCATTTTTGGTATCACCTGGCAGGACAAAGTTCCAAACAGAGTAGTCCTAGAACAAGCTGGACTTTTTAGCATGTATACATTCCTGAAACAGCGACGTCTACATTGGCGCGGGCAGGTCTGTATGGAGAATTAGTGCAGGGGAAGTCCCCCAGAGGGAGACCACAGCTGCGATAGAAGGATATCTGCAAGCGGGTTCTGAAAGCCTTAGGAATGGACCTCAACAGATGGGAAAGTTTGACATCTAAGCATTCAGTCTGGAGGCAGGGCCTGCATCATGGCCTCTCCCATTTTGAAGAGACACTTATCCAGCAGGCCAAAGCAAAGAAGCAGTCCCGAAACCAGCAAAATCAGGGAGCTGGACAGGGGAAAGATTACATTTTCTTCAGTGTGGAAGAGATTGTTGCTCTCATATTGGCCGTCTCAGCCACACTAGACACTGTTCCAAGACCTCTATTCAGAGCACATTACCATAGTCTCTCGTGACTGAAGGATGCCTAATCAGGTCTTCAGCAGAATGGGGAACAGCTGCATCATCGGCAAAGTGGAAGCCCCAGATGCATTTCAGTTGGACCTTGGTCTTCACTCTCAGTCTAGAGAGATTAAAGAGCTTTCCATCTGATCTAGGCCAGAGATAGACACCCTTTGTTGTAGTTGCAAAGGCGTGCTTCAGCATGACAGCAAAAAAGATCCCAAACACTCCGTTTTGGATGTCAAAGGGATCTGATGTTGAAGCTGAACATAGCTGAACACTAGCTATGCTGACCAGAATTAATGGGAGTTGTATAGTCCAAGGACATCTGGGGACCCAAGGTTGGGAATTACTGTTCCAGTCCCTCACCTCTTAATTTTTGCAGCTTGCCTTCTGTTAGTACAGGATATGGTGCCTTCAAAACTCTGTAACAAGAGGATTTGAGTATTCCCTTGTTAAGATGCAACTAATAGGAATATTTCTTTCAGAGTAAGCACCACTGAAGTGGAAGCTGCACACTTACTTCTGCTATTACAGAGCTTACTCTACTGAACAATAGTAAGGATATGGAGGCTTAAATCTACATAACTGTGGTGAAAGAAACCTATTGGAAATCACAGAAAGTACAAAGTAAATCATATCCATTGCAAAAGAACATGTTGTAAGGACATACCGGGATATGAACCTGACATGCTCCAGTAGGGTATGACATTTCATAGGTATCCTAGTCCTTGTTACAAAATACAATGGAATCAAATTACAGGAAATAATATTTTGGTTGAATATCAGGAAAAACTTCCTAACTGTTAGAGCAGTACAGCAATGGAATCAATTACCTTGAAAGGTGATCAGTCCTCCAACACTGGAGCTATTAAAGAGAAATTTAGACCACTTGGCAGATAGTCTTTGATTTATACTGTATTCCTGTATTGAGTAGGGGCTTGGACTCGATGGCCTTATAGGCCCCTTTCAACGTCATTATACTATGATTCTATGAAATACGGTATTTAGAACAAAAGTCTCTTGTTTGACATGATATAAATTCACACATCTTATGTCTTATACCGTTAACTTTAATGATAAACATGTATTTTGATTTGAGATATTATCTCCATGTGACTTCTTCTCCAGGTTTTAATGGCCTAGGAAAAGAAAAATAAAGGATGACAGAGTTAGGAATGAATTCTTCCAGAATGAAACTTAGAAATTTTAAAATATGCTCTGTTAAGTAAATGGCTATTTTGCATATTTGAAAAGCAAGCCCTCACATCTACACTGCTTTCTCCAATAACATTCAAAGTAACTAGAAAAAAAGTATTAATTCATGTTCAAAAATATTTTAAACAAGTTTTTGTGAATTAAATCACTTGTGGCCTACGTTCATCAAATGTAACATGGGCATATATTCATATTCCTACATACTGCATTCTCCACAGGTCTATGCCTATCTTGTCCAATAAAACAATGACTTTTGACCTTTAGCCTCCAGATGTTTTGGATGTCAACACCTACAATCCCTGATCTTTGCTATGTTGGCTGGGGCTTCTGAGGCTATATACAAAGGCAATATAGAAAGTCAGAATTCTCAGCTCTCAAAGTTATATCCTTCAATGTTTTCTCCAAGGTTTTCACACCGGGATCTGATGGTTGTTGTAGGTTTTGGGGCTCTTTGGCTGTGTTCTGGAGGTTTTTCTTCCTAACGTTTTGCCAGTCTCTTTGGCCAGCATCTTTGGAAGACAGGAGTTCTACTACAGCTGGAGAGATTATTAGCTTGGGTGGTTCATAGGAAATTCTATGTGTTCAGTGAAGGTCAGGACATCTTTACACAGCCATTCAAGCAAGAGAAATTACAAACTGCTTTTCTATTAAAGTTGGACATTTATGAGAAAGGCTTAAAATACATCTCCATGAGCAGAGAACCACTCTGCTATGTGACCAGGGACTCTGCCCAATCAGGATCTCTCCATTCACAGCCATAGGTGTAGAACATTCCTTTAGAACAAACAGGGAGACCATACAGCAGTACGTTCCACTGATAGTTTCTGCTCTGCCGGGAGATGGACATTATGGCATGCAATTCAGGTTTTTGGTAGCTGTATAAATGGTGCCAGTATTCATTGGCAAGCAAATCTTGGGGAGAAGTGGCAGAGGAGAGGGGGATACTCCAAATGATGGCACCATCATACACACACACACATCTCCTTCGTTGTTTACGGCCCCACCATACATGCAAGAGGAACATAGGAAAGGGTGGTGGCAAATGATCATACGAACATAAGAGCCCTGCTGGATCAGGCTAAGGGCCCATCTAGTCCAGCTCCCTATGCCTCTGGGAGCATACAAAACAACTAGATACATGTCTCCGGATACCTCTAAATGCCAGATGCAGGAGAGGGGTATCTTCTTTCCTGGAGATTATACATCCCCATTGTGGCTTGTAACCTCTGATGGATTTTCTTCCAGAAATTTGTCCAATTTTCTGTTAAAGGCATCTAGGCCAGATGCCATCACCACATCCTGTGGCTAAATAAATATTTTCTTTTGTCTGTTTTCACTCTCCCAACACTCAGCTGGAGTGGATGCCCCCTGGTTCTGGTATTGCGTGAGAGGGAAAAGAGCTTCCCTCTATCCATTTTATCCATCCCCTGCATAATTTTATATGTCTCAATAATGTCCTCCCTTGGGCGCCTTTTCTCTACACTAAAGAGCCCCAAACACTGTAGCCTTTCCTCGTAAGGAAGGAGCCCAGGCCAGTCATCATTTTAGATGCTCTCTTCTGCACCTCTTCCAGTTCCACAATGTCTTTTTTGAGGTTCGGCAACCAGAACTGTATGCAATACTCCAGGTGGGGCCTTACCAGCGTTTTGTACAATGACATTATAATGTTGGCTGTTTTATTTTCAATCCAAGTTTTTAATGACACCTAGCATGGAATTGGCCTTCTTCACTGCTGTGGCACACTAAGTTGACACTCTCGTCAAGCTGTCCACCAACACACCAAAATCTCTTTCCTGATCCACCGCAGACAGCTCAGAACCCATTAACTGACAACTATTTCTTTTATTTTTTGCCCTAATATGAATTACTTTACATTTTTCTATGTCAAAACACATTTGCCATTTTGCCGCCCATTCTCCTAGTTTGGAGAGATCCCTTTGGAGCTCTTCACAATCCCTTCTAGTTTTCACCACCGGGAAAAGTTTCGTGTGCTCCTAAAACATGAGCAGATTGATATGTGAACAGACACCTAAGACTTAGAACAGTTGTTCCCAACTTTAAGTCACCAAATGTTCTTGGACTGCAACTCCCAGAAATCCTGGCCAGCACAGCTAGTGACAAAGGTTTCCGGAGGTTTTAGTCCAAGAACATCTGGGGACCCAAGGTTGGGAGCAACTGACTCACAAATTTAAGTGCCAGCATCTTAACTTGGAAATAAAAATGTAGCCCATTAAACCTAAAATTTGCATAATATGAACAAATCAGACAATGCCAGTCAAGGTTCTGGGCAATATTCTCACCGAAATGATTCTTCTAAATGGTCTTCAAGAAGGATGGGCAAAGCGCAGCCCTCCAGATGTTGCTGGACTGCAACTTCCTTTAGCTCTAGGCAGCAACATCTGGACAGTTACACTTTGCCCATTCTGGCTCTTCAGTATCTTGTCTGGACAACATCTGGACACTTTGCCCATTCTGGCTCTTCAGTATCAAACTCACGGACTGCACTAACAATTCACATTTTCAAGCATTGCTATCACATCGATTGGTAGGACACTTTCTTAGCATAACTGACCTTTGAAACAACTTGCTCTTGTTTCTGTAGAGTGAAAGTTCCTCATCATTCTTCCTGTCCAAGTAGCATCCAACAATGAATCCCAAAGGAACTAAACTTAAAGCCCAGTGATCTCGCAGAAGCTGAAGAACTTTCATCATAGTTGCTGGTAGAAAAGGAAGGAAAGAACCATAGTATTCAAAAGGCAGATAACTACAAAGACGTATGAACTTTCAAAACATTTAAAATTATTTGCAAGTACTGTATACCATCTTGCAGACTTTCTTTTACAAATATATATTTTTGTCTACCCAAACTATGCATTATGAGTACTTGCTGCTAATTCACCAGATGAGATTAAGAGAGAGAAATCTCTCTAACAGAAGTACACAAGCTGTAGGGGCCTGGAGGTCAATTTCACCCCTTTGGTGACCCAGCTTCCGGTACTTTTTTCTAAGCCTGGAAATGCATTTTTAATTTTGATTTCCCTCATGTGGAGTGCTACAACCACATCTTGGCTGGATAAAAGCAGGACAAACTTCTTTGTCCCAACTACTGATTTGGGCCAGATCTTTCCAAATAGATAATGACAATCACACCTTAACTGCATTCCATCTTGGATACTTTCAGGCAGAAGCTATTACATATTATAAAGTACTATTTAGCATTTTCCAGACAGCAAAAGTAGCCTTATGTAAAGACACAGGCGTCCCTTTCTACTCAACTTAAGGTACCAATAAGCACTATTAATTCTTACATAGGATTTCAGTCTTCATATCTACATTATATAGGCAAAAATGGAGATGACAACGGGATTACAGAGGAGGCGCAAATAACGGAACTAAAGGAGTTACAAAGAAGCTCACAAACCAACGCCACTAAAAGACAGCAAGACTTATTCCTGGGTGCGAGTCTATTCAGGCAACGACCATAAACCCAAGAACCAGTGGCAACGGTTAATCCGAATCAACATCACGTAGTTAACTCTGCAAACCAGACTTCCCATTATGCTCCATTAAAGGTATCATTTATTTCCCCAGAACCTTCTCAACCTCAATTAAATCTTTAAGGGAGCATAATGGGAAGTCTGGTTTGCAGAGTTAACTAGTTAATCCGAATCAACATCACGTAGTTAACTCTGCAAACCAGACTTCCCATTATGCTCCATTAAAGGTATCATTTATTTCCCCAGAACCTTCTCAACCTCAATTAAACCATTATCTCACATCTCTCACATTTTAACGCCCTCCTGCCGCCATACCTGTCCCGAGAGGTAAGACCAGCAGCCTCTGTTTTCAAGGACGCAAAAATATAGGCCCCAGAAATTCACCCCTGAGGACGGGTGGAAGGAACCATTAATAGAGGGGGGGAAAGAACATTTACCCTCCGCAGCATCTTTCACTCGAAAAAACTTGAAATGTGTTTTTGGCACGCCTGTTACCATATTGTAAAAGTTGTTCAGACAAGAGTCGTAATTAACGAACGAGCTGTCCCGTCACACATTTTGTCTACCCCTCTAAATTGCGCTGTTAGTACAGGCCACGATCTCCACCCGCCCCCCCCCTCATTCTCTCAGGGCGGCTCCTCCTCCCGCCTCCCGCGCTCCTGCCGGCTTTCTCTTCCTTTTCCGGGCAAAATGGCGGCGGCTGTGAGGAGAGCGGGGAGTGGTTGACGGGAGTCGGGCTCCATTTAGGTCTCCAGTAGGCTTAGGGACCGGGAGTTTGCTAGGGGCTACCGGACAGGTAAGAACAGAAGTGAATGCACGAAGCGGATGAGTCGATTTCCTCCCCCCCAACTCTTGAGTCCAGCTGAAAACCCCACGGCACTTAGGATAAAAATGTAAATATCAAAATCGAGGAATTGCAGAGGTATCCCTTTCAACATTTAGCATGAGCATGTGCAAAGGGCGATCCTCAGGGAGAAATGGCCACGGGGTGTATATAGCAGTAGCAGATGTGTGTTTCCACATAAAGCAAGTTTTCAAGAAGATAAGGATGGACAAGGTGGTATGTGCCATTTAATATTCGATATACAGCATGCCCCAACTTGGGCCATGTTGAACTGATACACATCACGCAGAAAGACATCTGAAGCTTAGTGGAGGCTGGCAGGATCCTGATTTTTAACCTTTACCCATCATCATGGTCTCTCCTGAAAATCCTCTCTCTCTCTCTCTCTCTCTCTCTCTCTCTCTCTCTCTCACACACACACACACACACA